TCCCAACATGTTTCTGTGATACCAATGATATTGTACCTCTGTAGCCTTGCACACATCTCCAGTTCCTCTTGTTTGTGTCCCATACTATGGGCATTTGTATAGAGGTATCTGATCCAAGCTCCAAATGAGGCCAAGTCAATGCCTGGAGCAGCTGAAGTCTCTACATTGCTCCAAGCACTTATTACAGGTGCTGGCAAGGGACCTGGAGTGTTGGGATGGACTGATTCCCCCCTCCCCCAACATATCTAGTTTAAAGCTTTCTTGACCAGCCTGGCAAGCCTCCTACCAAAACAGCTCTTCCCCTTTGATAGACCAACTCCACCAGCCTCCAGTAGATCTGGCCTCCCAAATCGAGTCCCGTGTTCTAAATACACAAACCCCTGACTATGGCACCATTGCTCTAACCATTTATTAATCTTCCAAATACGTCTAGCTTTAAGGTCCTCTCCTTCATCCTGGAGAATGGATGAAAAAATTATCTGAGCTCCAGAGCCCCTAACCACCTCTCCCAGGGCTCTGTAGTCCTTCTTCATGCTCTCCAGGCTACTGCTATCTGTATCAGTAGCACAGGGGGATAGGGCTTGTGGTCAGTCCATAAGAGCTCCTCTCTGCTGCTCCACCCTCCTCATGCTGTTTCCCTGCTCCAGCACAGTCTTTCCAAAGCCTTCAGCTTCCTTTAGGGCACATCCACCTGCTCCACTGCAGACCTCCATTGTCTGCACCACGGGCTGCAGGGGAATCTCTGCTCCAGCGTCTGGAGGATACCCCGCCCCCGCTTGTGGTCAGTCCATAAGAGCTCCTCTCTGCTGCTCCACCCTCCTCATGCTGTTTCCCTGCTCCAGCACAGTCTTTCCAAAGCCTTCAGCTTCCTTTAGGGCACATCCACCTGCTCCACTGCAGACCTCCATTGTCTGCACCACGGGCTGCAGGGGAATCTCTGCTCCAGCGTCTGGAGCATCTCCTGCCTCATTCTGCACAGACCTGGGTGTCTGCAGGGATGTTTCTCTCACACCTTACACCTCGATGAAGTGTTTTGCACTGTCTTCATTTCCCCAGAGCCATCGGCTTGCACTGGCTGTGGCCAGCATGGAGCAGTCCAGGGGTTTCCTCACAGTGGCCCCTGCAGCCCACTCTTCCAGCAGCTGGGCACTGACACCTGGTAAAACATTTCATCAAATCTGTCCTGGTCAAGATATAACCGTAGAATCATAGAATCATGGGATTTTTTAGCTTGAGAAGATCTTTAAGATCATTGAGTCCAACTGTTAATGCAGCAGTGCCAAGTCCACCACTAAACCATGTCCCAAAGTGCCAGATCCACACATCTTTTCAATACCTCCAGGGATGGTGACTCAACCATTTCTCTGAGAAGCCTGTTCCAATGCTTGGCAACCCTCTTAGGGAAGAAATTTTTCCTAATATCTGATCTAAATTTTCCCTGGTGCAACTTGAGGATGTTTCCTCTCATGCTATTGCTTAGTACTTGGGAGAAGAGACCAACCCCTACCTCATTACAGCCTCCTTTCATGTAGTTGTAGGGAGCTCAGCTTCTCCTCACCAGACTTGTTTTCCAGACCCTTCACCAGCTTCATTGTTGTTCTTTGGACCTGCTCCAGCACCTCAATGTCCTTCTCGTAGTGAGGGGACCAAAACGGAACACAGGACTTGAGGTGTGGCCAGGATCCCATTGGCCTTCACTTGGGCACAAGCTGGCTCATGTTCATCCAGCTGTTGACCAACAATCCCATGTCCTTTTCCTCTGAGCAGCTTTCCAGGCACTATTCCCCATGCCTGTAGTGTTGCATGGTCAGTTGTTGTGAGCTGAGTGCAGGGGCCAGCATTGAGCCTTGTTTAACCTCCAGATCAGAGGTGAGGAGTGGTTGTGGTGTCATTCAGGGAGTTGGTGACACTGGCTAAAGAAGCCTGGCCTCCTAGCGTCTGGGTCAGCTTCAACAGCGTGTCAGGTATGTGGCCTGGCATCACTAGAGACCTGGAAAGCAGAACAGTCCATGCAGCTCACTGTAGAGTGCATCATCTCTCACCACTGGGTTTTTCTTGTCTAATATGAGCCCACTCTTCCCAGTATGCATTACTCCCTGTGGAGAACCATTCCCCCAATTTACCATGTTGGGGGTAACGGGGTGGTCAGCTCTGAAGCCTTTCTAGTCCTTTTCCACAGGTGCTGGCAGCCCAGGTGCTGAGATTATGCAGACTTTAACCAGATGAAGAGTCAAATCCTTAAAACTGCTATTCATGATTTATGAAGTATAAAAAAAGTATGAAAGAATAACAAAAAAGTTAATAAAATACTTATTAGTCAAGCTTTTCTCTGTGTAACAAGCTAAATTGATTGTATATTTTGCCAAGTGCATTATCACTCTACTGCAATATTTTCTTCACTTGTGTTTCCTCTTCTCTCCTCATTATCATCTGCATAAAGCAGGTGATAATGATAACTAAACATAGTTTCAGCTTCTGTTCTGTTTCTGTTGAATTAAGGAAAAACAATCCAGCAAAACTAAGTCAAATAGAATAATTTAAATGGCAGCTGCTTTCTTGCTGATTGGACCATAGCTCTGCGCCTTTCATCAGTGGTAGGATTCTTTCTAATTTTTTCTCAAGCAGGCTATAACACAAACTTTATTCTTGATAGCATAGTGAGTTGCAGCTTTACATCCTTAATACTGCGGAGAACTTTTCAGATCATTCACAGAGAAAGCTGAGTTTTATACTTGCAGTGCTAATGTAATGTGATGTGGAGGATTTAGTATTCTTATAAGATACCATTGCATCATAAACATCTTGCTTGGCGTTTACTGTACAACTTTGTTACAGACAATACCACAGTCAGAATGATATGTATGAGACAGATATGTATGATACCCTTCCCTCATACGTCAGCCCTTTGGTACTATTCTTTTCTTATGTCTTCATTCTCATTACAGATGATATTCCAGATTCTAGTATAATACTTGAAGTACCAGGCTACTAATGCAGTGTCATCTTTGTGTGATAATTCATGAGTGGAAGTGAGGAGATGAGGGGAGAAAAGGGAGGAGAGGAGAACGGAAGCTACAGGCATCCTTTACCACCACTTCTGAAAGACATTTGTTGACCTTGTGTTTGTACAAGGAGATACTATAACTTTTTAACTTTTTTTTTTTTTTTTTTTACTGTAGTTACAGGGATGCAGAGAAGAACTTTCACAATATATCAAACAGATGCTCCTATACAGACTGCTCTGGCAATGAAGAAACTGAAGATGTCTCAGGAATTCTCCAGTGTACAGCAAATGTACTTGGTATGTGTTCTTTCAAGGGAATTTGTTTCCTTTAGTTGGAAGGAAAGTTTAGTAACCATCCTAATACTAACAACGAACCAAGGAATTCTTGTTCCAACAAATGAAATTTAGGATGTAGGCAGCTACATAACATTGCACTGTTACTACATTTGTCTACATATATTTTGTGTCTTTGAAACAATCCAGACTGATATTGCACTGGCAATTTATTGTGCAATACCCAGTGATGAGAGAAGTTTCAAAGGTTTTGAGTCCAAATAGACTTGCATTTGTGAAGGACTTGCATCTGTGCAGGGCTTGGTCATGGAATTATCTGAGGTGGTTTTATAGGGGTTCTACAAAACAAGAGATACTCTTGTCGTCCATGGGCCTGGTGGATAGAGGGTCTGAGAAACACAGAACAGGATGTACCTGAGACATGAAACATTCTGGAAGCTTACATTCGTGTTGAAGAATACCTGCTGCAATAAACTTTTAGAGACATTGCATGTCAAAATGATGTCATCCATCACTGAAGTGCAACTGTCTTAATAGGTATCAAAATTAGGTAGTTGGCTATTTGCATTCATTCATAAGATTTACCCAGCTTATTCTCCTTCCCAAGTGTTAGTAATCGTTACTGCTTTTCAGTCAAACTTACGTTGCTGATACAAATCTGCCATAAATAGACAAAGAAAGAAAAAAAAAGGTGCAGAGCTTGACACTGAGAACTTAATTTTTGATTGGGATTGTTTTAACTGTTCCATTTCTATGAAACTGATCGTATTCATTGGTTTAAAGTAAACTTTACACATTGAGCTTTAACCACTGAGCAATTGTCTATATTTTACAGGGAACTGTAAGGAGGAGAAGCAGTAATTGTTTTCAAAGATACTTTTTTCAAAGCAGTAATTCCTGATTTATTTGTGATAATCATTTGCAAAGTAGCAAAGCTGATGTTACATAGCTCTACTTCCAGGGCTGTAACAATTGACAGTAAGTCTTTAAGTAAAGTCTAAGATATGAAGTGTTCGTATATATTAATTGTATTCAATTATGCCATCTACTAACAGGAAAGCAGTACCAACATGGTCATGTGTGTTGATGTGTGTTTATCAGTATTATGTGCATTTGGGCTCAGTCCTGAGGTCAGGTAACCACAGCTCGACCACTTGTAGCACTTGTAGTGTGTAATAGCTGTTTGTGTGCCAGCTGCTGTCTAGTGTCCACTGTGGAGCACTGGCATTTGCCATCTGCTGCTTTCATAGAGTTTGCAAATGGAGAGTTGTTGCAGTTGTTTCTCTGTAGGAAAGGCCCTGGATGTCCTGGTGGCCAGCAAATGGGATGTGAGCCAGCGGTGAGTCCTGGTAGCAAAGATGGCAATAGCAGCCTTGGCTGTATGGACAGTGGCAGAGATACAGATCGAAGGGATTCATTATCCCCCTCTGCTCAGTACTCAATAAACCACATTTGGATTACTGAATCTGATATTGGGAGCCCAAAAACCATAGAGAAGTTGATAAACTAGAGGAAGTTCAGTTGAGACTTTCAAGATGGTGGGGGCTAGTGTACCTGCCCTGTGAGGAAAGGCTGGAGGAGCTGGGCTGTTCAGCCTGAAGCAGCGATGGTTTCGAGAAGACCTAGCAGCAGTCCCCAGTGTCTGTGAGGAAGTCCTCAAGGAGAGGGAGCAGCCCTAAATTGAAACAGCAGACATTCAGATTGGGTCTTTTTTCCCTGTAAGAACAGTCAGGGAGAGGCAAAATTTGCCCAGAGAAGCAACCTCTGCATGAGCTCTGTCCTTGGAGGTTTCTAACCCCAACTGTGTAAAGCCATGAGCAACCTCACCTGAATGACCAGGCAACTCAGCTTTAAAGCCTCTCTGATTCTAGTCCAGCTAACATGAAGCAGCTGTTCATACCACCGTGACATTTTTTGCTAGTTGAGTACTGAGCTTTTCTTTCTGAACTTTTATATAGCATTTGTAATACTTGGGGCTATATTTTTTGTATGTTGAAACCCCCTTTGCTCTTCCATTTGAGGTTTTGGTAGGCTGCTGAAGTGGGGGTGGAAGGCATGGAAGATGGCATTCTGGTTCAATGAAAGTTTTCTTTCGGCTGGTAATATACAGTATGAACATGTGATATTTTTATGGGATTATGCAGTTAGACTTTCTTCAATAGGAGGCACGACTCTGGTATCAGGTCTTGTATGATAATTAAAGATATGATTTACCTTCCATGTCAGGGGGATATGGTAAGGTGATATTCTTTGGTCTGGACCATTGTATCCTGATGACTTAAAAGTCCTTCTGGAGGTATATGCATTGCATGTCTGTCTTTTCTGTCTCAAACTGTTAAACAGACTTGGTACGCTCTGTGAAACAGCTAACATGTTCTAGTTGAGAGATCACTGCGTTTCACTGACATCCAAAGTGCTTTGGGGTTTTTTTGGTGTCAGGTCCTGTGTTCTGCAAGATGCTAGGTGCTGTCAGGGAGGTTCTGCCTGCCTTTAACTGCTGCTGGGAAGAGACAGTACTTGGCACTTTGCACATTTGGTCATGGAGAGAATTTAGAACAAATTAAATTGTAAATATACCCGGTATTTGTTACTATATTTTTTGGTTTGCATTTTAAAATAATTGAATGCTAACTCTCAGAAAAAAATGCAATGATTGATAAAGAAGAGCTCATGTAAAGCAAAGACTTTTCATGTTATTATTTGCATATTAATATAAAAAAACAAATTAGACATTCAATACTTATTTCACCATGACACAAAACACATTTCCTGTAGTTATGAATACTTTTTCATTTTCAGAGTGCTTTTAAATCAATTCGTTAGTCCTGGTCCCGTATCATGGCTGAGTAATGTACAGATTGTTTTTACAGTGTTATCCATGCAGTACCTGTGTGTCAGGGGTGGACTAGACTGTTGGGATCACAGTGTAGAGATAATGCCTAGAGGATACTGTCTTGGAGAATTATTAAAGTAGACTTTGTTGAAAATAAGATTGCAGAGACTTACTCTTGGGGTAGCTCACCTTTTAAGCAATGAATTTTAGTTCATAGCAAAAAAAACCCAAAACCATCAATGTGAGCAAAGCCCTGAGACAATTTAAAAGCAGTACTTTTTTACTTCTCCTTATCTGGGACAAGAACATACAGGAATGAGCAGTAAAACCAGCTTCTTCATTTTAATTGTACCTCCTATCACAATGGGTAAATAATTAATAGAGGCTGTGTAATTAATTCTCATACAGCTATTTTTCTGGTTGAATAAGAGTCAGTGAGACCTGCTTCTATGCGAGAAGGATGTAAACAGTCAGCTGTGTACCCAGAGCAATTGACACTGCTAAGACAGGAGACAAGAATGAATCTGACTGTGATGGAGGCTAGAGAAACTGTTGAACCAGATCTGGCTCTCAGGTTTATTTATATGAGTGGTAACAGGGACTTGCTGTCTATGGCTGGAAGAAGGTGTTTTCTTGAAGGTGACTGGAAGCAACTTCCTGCTTTCTTACCTTAGATAATGCCAGCATGATTCACCTCTCCTGACCCTCTAACTGACTCTAAAATAGTCATTTGGAATTCCTTATTCATCTGAAGACAGCAAACGCTGAAATCATTAGTAAGCTTGGAAAATTGTGAGCAGATGCTTCTCCGCATGGTTCTGGTGCTTACACTGCTCACAGGAAAGTGCTGACTGCAAGCTGTATGCTCAACTCAATGCATGTGATTTATCATGTATGAATACTGGAATTTTCCTCCTGTCAAGTCATCACTAAAGTGTGACACCATCTTCCTGCAGTGGGAGGACCTGATTCCCTTGTCTCCTTGCCGAGTTGCTCCTGCTACAAGTCTAAACATCGGTAGAACTCTTCCTGCTTTGATTCACTGTGATTAAGGGAGCCATGTCCATCACGTTCGCCTGCTGTAAACCATGTCTGATACCAGATCAACAGCACAGCTTTCCTTTGCAGTGACAGCTTCTGAGGCTAGAATATTTAATTCAAATTTGTATCCTTTCCAAAGTAGTCCAGACAGCTTTATGATGGACTCAGTTTTCTTTAATTGGTGCATACACACTTTTACAGTGTCCTTCATAAGCATATAGAATCATAGAATCATGGGATTTTTTTAGCTCGGAAGGGATCTTTAAGATCACTGAGTCCAACTGTTAATAGGGCAGTGCCAAGTCCACCACTAAACCATGTCCCAGAGTGCCAGATCCACACATCTTTTCAATACCTCCAGGGATGGTGACTCAACCATTTCTCTGAGAAGCCTGTTCCAATGCTTGGCAACCCTCTTAGGGAAGAAATTTTTCCTAATATCTGATCTAAATTTTCCCTGGTGCAACTCGAGGATGTTTCCTCTCATGCTATTGCTTAGTACTTGGGAGAAGAGACCAACCCCTGCCTCACTACAGCTTCCTTTCAGGTAGTTGTAGAGAGTGATAAGGTCTCCCCTGAGCCTCCATTTCTCTAGGCTAAACAAACCCAGTTCCCTCAGCTGCTCCAGACCCTTCACCAGCTTCATTGCCCTTCTCTGGACCTGCTCCAGCACCTCAATGTCTTTCTTGTAGTAAGGGTCACAGAACTGAACACAGTATTCAAGGTGTGGCCACACCAGTGCCGAGTACAGGGGAACTGTCACTTCCCTGGTCCTGTCATCTAAAGGAAAAACATATGAAATTAAACAGAAGTTGGGAAAAAGAGAAATCTGTTTCTACAGGGAGTCGTTATAAAGTTCCTACCTGGAAATAAAGTATTTCAAAGAATAAAAGCTGGCTGGTGTTATCCTGTTGATACATATACTGCTTTTAGCTGTCTCACTAAGCTGTGTTCAGAGCAGGTTGTTGGAGTTAGTTTGAACTGAATTTAGATATAATGACAAGAAAAAAAATTCTGTGATGAAGTATATTATGTGGGTGACTTCCACATTTCTCCAAATGACTATCAATTTATAATGGGGTATGTAAGAGAGAAAGATTGTATCTGAAGAGACTTCTTATTTGATCTA